TTTTTTTTAATTTCTCTTATAGAAATCCTTTTGATCATCGCTATCTTTTTTTAACAAAATAGTTTCATACGAATTCAACATTTACTTCCAGATTGACTTGCAAAGTCATAGCTGCAGAAAATCATAACTTTAGTATCTTTTACGAATTTATTAAAAAATACTTATTCACATCATTTTTTAGAAAGTTAAATATATAATTCTTGAAAAAACTTCCATCACTGATGTAATCAGTAAAAACTATCACCCTGTTACCCAAAAATTTTACTGTTTTTAAACTCAGTCTATCCCAAGTTTCAATTTATCCATGCAGATTCCAGAGAGAATGAAAAATTGTCTGCTCCTTCCGCATCTCCGGTACACGAACCACAAGCACAAGATGTAATAATAGGCAACGTTTTCGATAAAGTTTGTATGTATAAAGAGCGAGAAATTCCCTCACAGCATTTCCTACTGCATCCTGATCCAAAATTCATACAAGTTCCATTACGAATGTCACCTTCATGAAAGTTTCTAGACTTTTTGTAGCAAAACAGACAAGTCGGTTGATTTTCCCTCAAAAAACGCAAATAATTTTGATTGGTACAATCATAAGTTCCATCCCCATCTTGAATAACGCTCATAAGGTAATGATCAGTATTTGGAAAAATAAAATTATGCGTCTTTGAGGGAGAAAGAAGGCACACAAAAGTCCAGACGCCCATCCATGCCCCGTACATTGAGAACCGATTCATTTCTCTAGGAAAACGTGTTGTCTCTGCTTTGTTGGTGAGTGAGATTGTATTTTCTTTTTTCTGTGCTTTATATTCAGTTGCTCAAGGACGTTGGTGCTCTATTAGGGAAAATGTCAGTTTATCACGTTTCGATGGAAACTCCTACCAGAACATTAACAAACTAATAAGGTTAAGTATTTTGATTTGCTTGAATTTACCAGAATTTTTCCCCAGTTTATACTTTCAAAAAAAATAAAACAAAACAAAACAAATGGTGCAAAGACCCACTCATATGGCCTAAGTGCCGAGAATAGGTATAAATTTGCAGCTCTCGACCGGCAAATAGTGAAAAATTCTCGAGAGGGACGTTAAACAACAAACAAACAAAACAAAAACCATAAGGGACTATTTTTTCAATGAAAAAAAATCAAACATTAGTCATCTTACATACTACCTTATAGTCCAATATTACAAGCATACTATTCTTTCAGTACCTATATTTCTTGTATTAAAATGAGCCTTTGGTTAGCTTTACGATAGACTCTTAATTCACTCTACGCAGCTGGCCATGAGCAAACAACTTTAATTTTTCCCCCTCTTTCAAGCCTTGTTTAAATGATATATAGTCATATTCTAGCTTTGTTTCTAAATCCAGCAACCTTATTGGGGGGAGGGGGGATTGCCTCTTTCGGTGCTGTTACAGCTCACCTTGTTCTTTGTAAGATCTTATCCTTCATATTGGATGCATTGGGGCTCTACCGGATTGTTAAATGTAAAATAAATTAATAACATTTTGAATCTTCTTTAAATACACTTTAAAAGTTGTTTCAATAAAGATTCTGACACTTTCAGACAAGAAATACCATGTTTTTTAAAAAAGCGTACCACACCTGAATACATAAGATTCAAAATTTTATTAATATATTTTACATTTAACAATCCGGAAGACAAGCCCCCTATGATTGGATGGTCACTCCTTCACCATGTGATGCCCATCAGAATATGTCATGAACATTTTATGAATGTGAAATTAAAATTTCACCCTTGATAAAAAGCCAATTGTCAACACGACCAAACATCGTTTCGACAAGAATTCCTGTCATTTTTTGGACATAAATTATGAGCCCTTATTGACAATAAGTACTCATCACATCGCTGTCACACAGAGAGAAGTGAAAAATTTTCTCAGATTCAATAAATGTGTATGAGAGAGAGAGACTCATTGAGATATTAACAGTATAGTACATTGACCTTGAGAAACTGAAACTTGATTGTATCTGTCATAAGTGAAACTTAAAATTATAATTCATTTTCCTGACAGAAAGCCAACTTTACCCCCTAACTGAGCAGACACTTAAATGAACCTTACTTTAACTCATTTTGTGGATAATGACGTGGTCGTATCACTTTCACACAAGGACGATCATTCTAGATTAGTACATTATATAACATGAATTTGAACACATGATCATTACTGATACATGCACTAAGTGTTGCATCTAAGAGGCATAACTCGGTTTTAAACAAAAGACTTTGCCAAATACTTCTCTACATGAAAAATTTCTCAGACCGTTCGAGTTCCATTATTTACAGACTGTTTGATGCCCTTAAGTTTTATTAATAGTTTGACAAATTATCCATTAAGGTGGAACAACCCTCTGCTAAGAGAGATAATTTTCCAAACAAAATAATCTATAAATGTCCAATAGTTTAAAAATGTCCAATAGTTTAAAATTCATCAAAGCACATGTACACCTGTGCAAAATACGTGAGGACAAGGACTTTTTTCATGTCTTAAAAAATGACACTGCTACTTTTTTTCCAATGAAACAAAAGTGAATGGAAGACAACAAAATATTGAAAACTACAACAAACTTACGAAAAAGCTAACACTATGAATAGAATCAATACTAGTTTATTCAAATATTGATTCCAAGAGCAATAACTTTTTTTCCGGCATTTGATTTCCTTCATATTCAATTTTTTTTTTCTTTTTTGTGAAAAACAGTTTCATGAAACTGTTGATTAATGTTATGTCATTAGAACAAAATATTGTCATATTTCGATAATGCTGTTGAACGAAAATTTTCAGATGTTGACATTATGTACATTTCGCATCTAAATAAAGTTGATGACCAAGATATTTTTATGCCCCGCCATGAATATGGCCGGGGCATATAGTGTTCGTCATGTCCGTCTTCCGTCCTTCTGTCCTTCCGTCTGTCCTTCCGTCACACTTTGCGTTTAGCTCTGTTCAAAGCTCAGTTTCAAAGAAACTATCCAAGATATTTTTATCAAACTTCATATGCTGATAGATATTGATGAGGGCTATGCAACTGCATCAACATTTTTTGACCTTGACCTTTCCTTTGACCTTGACCTCACTTTTCTTAAATTAGTGTTTAGCTCAGTTTTAAAGATACCATTCAAGATAGTGTAATCAAACTTCATATGTTGATACATACTGATGTAAGCTATTCAATTGCATCAACATTTTTTTGACCTTGACCTTTCTTTTGACCTTGACCTCACTTTTCTTAAATTAATGTTTAGCTCTGTTTTAATGTAACCATTCATGATACTTTTAACAAACTTCATATGCTGATACATACTGATGAGAGCTATTCAACTACATCAATATTTTTTACCTTGACCATTCCTTTGACCTTGACCTCACTTTTCTTAAATAAGTTTTTAGCTCAATTTTAAAGATACCATTCAAGATAGTGTTATCAAACTTCATATGCTGATACATACTGATGAGAGCTATTCAACTGCATCAACATTTTTTGACCTTGACCTTTCCTTTGACCTTGACCTCACTTTTCTTAAATTAGTGTCAAACTTAATATGCTGATACATACTGATGAGAGCTATTCAACTGCATCAATATTTTTTGACCTTGACCTTTCCTTTGACCTTGACCTCACTTTTCTTAAATTAGTGTTTAGCTCAGTTTTTAAGAAACCATTCATAATATTTTCATCAAACTTCATATGCTAATACATACTGATGTAACCTTTTCAACTACATCAACATTTTTTGATCTTGACCTTTCCGTTGATCTTGACCTCACTTTTCTTAAATTAGTTTCTGAATCAAACGTCATATGCTGATACATACTGATGTAAGCTATTCAACTGCAGCAATATTTTTTGACCTTGACCTTTCCTTTGACCTTGACCTCACTTTTCTCAATTTGTGTTAAAATGTTGCATTACTAATATACCCTTGGCGGGGCATTCATGTCCTATGGACATATTTCTAGTCTTTGATAATTAATAGAATTAACTACTAGTATGATAACTGGAAAAATGCATTTTAATACTTAAATTTTAACTAATAAAAATTACCTTTAAATTGAGATCATCTATATAGACAGTTCATTCAAGCCCAATTCCAACCGCAAACACTGACACATACATTTTCTTTTGCCAGTATTTTTTTATAGTCAACAATAACATCTGCTCTAAATCACTTGCACCCCGTTTTTTTTAACTATTAAAAATTGGAATATTTCTACCTCTACATAAACAATTTAATAACTTATCTTATTTTCATTATCAGTACAGTTCTTATTTTAAGGAAAGATAACACTTGGTGATGGATGCATTTTTTTTTAACAAGTATAGATAACAGATTGATATTCTGACTTAAATGAATTACTGCTCTTTCTATACACTGTCAAATTTTCTTCATATCATGGTTAGTCATAAAATTCATTTCTGAAGAAGTAAGCATTGCTCCATACTAAATTTAAAAAAAAAAAAAAGCGGGGGGGGGGGGGGGGGGGGGGGGGGGGTAGAGCAGATTGTCATTACCCCTTAGAGACTACTATTAATACCTTTAAGGAGTTTTACTGACCTAACTCAACACTCATTTTTTTACATCCTTGCAACTCCATACTTCTTATACATGTATTTTATGCTTACATGGGCAAATGTTTCTGTTCACTGTTTTTTCCTTAACTTTTGTTAATCCATAAATTTACATCAAATTTTAAAGGATCTTGTAGAAATTACTTCAATTCTTCATGAGAAAATTCTCACCATCTTAGATTCTTGTTGCTTAATGCTATTCTTGAGAGCTACCTGTTCCATTTCTATATATGCGATCATTTTGTTTCCAACAGCATTTCTATCACCTTTAACCAAACTATTCTGAATTTACTGTCCAAGAATCCAAAATGTTTCCAAGAGCAAGTGCCTATGTATGTACAGGTAAACTCTCCAAAAGTCTGTGTTAACTACAAGTCAAATATACATGCATAGAACAGAATGACTAGGTCAATAATTTTTCTTAAATAGAAAGGATTTAATGACATAAATCTAAATGAGTCATAACACTGAAATGATACACAACAACATGGACCCAACTATCACTTACTATTGCCCAGATATTTAGAAGCTCAAACAATCCTTGTATAATTACAAACATCACATCACAGTGCACATATGTAGGGGAAAAAACTTCATATAATGTCATTATGTAGCAAATTAACTGTTATTTATAACACTTTAATACACAAATAAGAAATAAAACGCATAATACAATAAAAAAGTTTCACATAAAACTTAACCGCCTTTTACAATGCAAGAACGATATAAGTGACTCTTTACTTCCAGAATCCACAGTCAAATTTTAAGTTCAATTCCAATGTTAATTCACAAATTTTAGTGATAGTTTATCTGATCAATTATAACAATAAAGTGCCGTTTTTGTATCTTTTTACTTTGTAGGATTAATTTCAGCTGATGATTTTATACAGGTACGAACTAATTTTGGCACCAATTACAGAATGGGAACAAACTAAGCAATACAGGTATCTTTTTTTCAGCAATCTAAGAAGTTGGCAGCCATAAGTAATTCTAAAGCGATTTCCGGTGCTATTGGGAACTCTGGGATCTCTGTGGAGCTATTGGTGTATCTCACTTTGTAGGTGAAATACATACACACCTTCTGTAGTACATGTGACCTGCAAAATACACCATATACAATTTTTTTTATAATATTCATTTGGATAACACTCAAAATTTTTATCAATGGCAATTACTTGACAAAAATTATTATACACATTTTTCTCTCCCCAAAACATCATTTACCTTTCACTGATATTAATTACAAGAACACGAAGCATGTAAAATATTGGAAGAAAAAAACAACATTGGAGAGCTGAACCATCTTTTAGTTCCAAAAAAATGTCTAAAATCTAAAAAGGGTGGTTTATGAAAGAAATATCTTCTTTTCTACAAAGAGCAAAAGTTTGATGAAATTCTGTGCAGCGGTTTAAGAGGAGTTGTGCGGACAAACTGTTCATCTCTATATTCAAGATATGGCCAAAAGTCTACGTTGAAAAGTGCCAAAATTCCCACAAAAATGAGGCAATCCAAATTTCCTGGCAATATGCACAACTACATACTGTGTCCTAAATATCTGGAAAGTTTGACGAAATTCTGTGCAGTGGTTTAAGAGGAGTTGAGCTGACAAAAAAAACAGGACTGACGGACTGACAGATGGACTGACTGACGGACGGGTCAAAAACATTATACCCCCCGCAACTTGTTGTGTGGGGTATAATTAGTAGTAAATAAAAGGTATAACAAATCATTTATTGACTGTGTTATCGGGCAAAATACATTTTATCAACCCCTCAAACCAAACTGTTTGCCTGAGGCCTAATGGCCTCAGGCAAACAGTTCGGCTATTGGGTCTGACAAAACGCATGTTGCCCTCGAACCCAGTCAATAAATGTATATTCTCAAATTTCATTCTTTTGATTTCTGTTCTTTGATAATTACATAATTATCTTATCCAACAATCAGTAAACTTTAAATTACTCTGCTTAAAATATATTCAAGAAATTTATGTCATACTTACGGGATTTCCCTAAAATTAATTTCATTTGTCTCATTTTCTGCAAATTGGCCTGAAAAATAAAATATTGCATTAAACTTATATGTATTCGTACTTGTTGAACTGTCAGCATTTTAAATGAAATTAAATGAAGATTTTACTTTCCGTTCTTTACTTAAACTTATGGGATTTTCTCAGTTGGATACTTTGACCTTCAACATGTTCAGCTTAAAGAAAATCTCTATTCTACATTGCTTAGTAATTATGACCCTAGTTATAATTGTGGAAAAACAAAAGGACAAGGTTGCCCAATCTCAGAGTTTTTCTTTCTGTTCAACATAGTGAATTAGCTAAGAGTGTAGAGGACTGTGTTAGACCAAAGAAATTCTGTGTAAATTAAGTTGGGTTTTTTTTCAATCATGAAGTTATGAGTAACTTCAGTTTTGGTTTGTTTTTTTTTTTGTTGTTGTTGTTGTTGTTTTTGCTTTCATTAGCTGTCAGTATTGTTCAGCATATACCTTGGTAGAGTATGAGATTTCCTCTGACAATTAGTAAGAATTACCAACTGATTTATTTGCAAATATAACAGTTCCTAACATCAAATATATATATATGTCAGAAGCAGTATGGAAAATGTAAATAAAAATCCAGAAGGTGGGATTTTTTTTAATTATGTTAATCAAATTTTTGGACTAAAAAGGTAATACTATTAGAAATCAGCTTAATAAATGGTCAAGCTGAATATTTTTAAGAATTCTGCAATCTTTCATCTCAAACGTTTTCAAAAAATGGTAAAATTGGAGTCCTCTGCTCTGAACTAAATAGGTGTCTTCTTTTCAGAAGCTGAAGTTTACCTGGGCCACTCAACATAGCCTTTATAGTCCCCGATGTCAAAGCATGGTCTCTCTTGACAATAAATTCATGGCCGTCTGATGACACCAGCTTTACATACATAGCATCGGGTCCCTCACATCCTCCATAGGTCTTCTCTTCATCTCCTTTATCATCCTTGGAGTCTGACATCGTTCAGTTCAGACTTCTCTACAAAAAAAAAAATCAAGTATTAATTTACTATAATGCCATGCTAGCTTTATGAACTACTATGTTTTGCACAATGTTTAAATTTGCACAAAAATGCCTTTCACCAATGAAATTTTTTTTTAAAAAAATAAGAAATCTGAATGTGAAACTCCACCAACCATAATAAATTTCATTTATATACCGTTACTTTCTTAACAGTCAGGGGCATAATGCAAACAAGTTATTTTCAAAAATAACTCCAATGAGTTATTTTTTTGTCACAGTGAGTTACCTCTCTTTGCTATGACCTATTTTTTTCCCCGCATTAGTAACTCAAACACGTTATCTTTCCAAAATAGTTTCAATAAATTAATAACTTGTTTAAGTTATTTTGTGTCATTCCTCCCTAACTTCACACCCCGTGCACCAAAGGTTTTTGCTCGTGCACCAAGACAAAAACAAATGTTTGATTAAATTTAAACCTTGCTCAATCCAGAAAAAATGTTCAAAGTCTTGGGAAAATTGGGGAAAGTTTTTTATTTAATGAAAAAAATTGGACATATAAACTGTGTTAATAAAACCACAAAATAAGGATTAAAATGCTGTTTATCTCCACCTCCTCACCAATTCTCTATTGGAGTCGGTGCACTCCATCTAGTATTACATAATGGAATCCCAAAATGCAATGCATATTGGCAGGAAATACAAAACTCCCAAGAAATCAATGTCCAAGTAGAATATAAAAATAACTTATTTTAGTTATTATTAAAAAAATCTTTGTGTGTATAAAATAACATTTAAGTTATTTTTCTGATAACTTGTTTGAGTTATACCCTGACTGCTTAAACAGTATTATAATGTATTGGCTATTAATTGATGTGTATGATATTTTTTTACTCATTGCATTTCTTCCACAAAAGATACTGTGGAATCATTTTAATTTATCGGGGTCAATGTTTGTGGGCAAGCAAATTTTTATTGTTCCGTGGGACATAATTTTGTGGGTTAGTTGTTTATATGTTTACAAAATAAACATTCGTGGAGATGTAAATTAGTGGGTGTAAATTAGTGGGTAAGTGTGACCCACGATATCCACAAACATTGGTCCCTCAATGATGATTCCAGAGTAACAATGACTGGTAAACATGAAAATCTCAAACGATATATAACAATACTCTGTAATATATGCCACTTTATAGCCTGCTTGAGTGTTGCAAATAATACCCAATTTCATAACATTAACTATACCAGGGTAGATCTATTCTGAATTACAGAATAGATTTATTTGCCAATCATGGTCCCACCAAGGGCATAACATACATACAATAATAAGCATGATTTGTAAACATACATGTACATGAGGACAAGAAAAGCCACATCAACCTATACAGCAATACGAAACATATATATACATGTAAATACAAGGTAGCCCAGGTTACGCAACCGTGATCAGTTATTTGAATCATCTTCCTTCCACCAGGGAAGCTATATGTGACATTACAATTTTGTTCCTATTTTAAATCTACAAAAGTATCAAGGGACGACAAGCAGTAAATCTAGTACTGCTGACTCCTGACTCTCTTAGTATTCTTCATACCACTGTACAGAATCGCTTCATTCTTGCCAGGCACATTTTCTGGGTTGAAATACATTCACACATACATAAATATAACAACAATGGTATGTTTTATATAATATAATAAATCAAGAACTTTTAATTTCTGACTTCCGATTGTTCCAGATTGCAAATTTTTATTAACATTTTTCATTTCACCAAAGAGAATCGCTTCCAACTTTTTGGGCATGTTTGCTAAGTTAAAGTTAATTCCTACATATATAAATTTATCAACAGTGTTATGTATGTTTAATTCATCTATCCAAAAACAGTAAAATCCACTTCTGGGTGATAAATGTGGAAACCAAAAATGAATACTCTTTCATCAAGCTGCTCCTTTAGTTCCTAAATGCCACTACATATGTATTTGTAACATTTTTGACATTTTTTGTTTATGTGAATTCAATGTAGTTAATGTGCCTGAAAATTTTGAACCTATCTGTTAAACAATGCAGAGAATGGCAACGAAAAACATGAATCCTAGAGAGTCGGGAGTCAACATCACTGGAATTACCACCTGCCTCAAGGGACAATGCTCCAGGATATGCATGTCTCAGCAGCTGCAACTGTCTGGACAGCATTTCTCTGTACATATAATGTAGATCAACAATTCAATAATACAATATATCAGGATTCTCATTAACGCAAGAATCTGCGTCCTAGACGCAGCAAAATTACTTGGAACGCAAGTAGGGTTGGATACCGTTAAGGATGAAACGGTACGATACCATACCGGTATTTTTAAAACGATATGGTATTTTTAACGGTACGGTACTATACCTTGATGAATTAGAATGAGGGTTCATTTTATAACAAGAGCGTTCTCACCAGTCACCAACCTTTCAATGCTATAATCATAAATAAGCTTATAAACTATGTTTATATTTCAACCTTTAATAAATGATCAACAAAAATAAATTGAATCTCAAACGAATTAATTTGACTGGATACATAATCACATTATTATACACAACTCCCTGGTTGGCCAGGACCCATTTTGTTTAGTTGCACTAAACAACGAAACATTAGAAAATGGATAGAGATGCACATCACTTTTTTGCGAAATTTTGCCTTTTTAGTTTACATTTATCAGTTTTTATTAATAAAATTAAAACACGATTAATGTGAATGTATTTTAATTTAAAAAAAAAATTAAACGTATTGATTTACCTCGAATATCGGCAATCAAAAGTAAGTGTCATACTAAGCATCCATTTCGTGAATTAGCCTACCCTTCCAATGCACGGATAATTCGATTTTGGCGAAACTGGAATCGTTTTTCTAAAATGGTTTTGAATATATTAAAATCTTTCAAAGATTAAGAAATACCGTTATTAATACCGGTATTAAATGAAACGGTATTTTACCGGTACTTTTGAAGCAACTACTCGGTACGGTATTAGTACCGCGTACCGGTATCCAACCCTAGACGCAAGGTTCTTAAAAACGATGCGTCCGCGGACTCATGATCAGACTCGACCTCGTTTAAGTGAGAAAATTTGGGTAATTTCGAAAACGGGGAATTTAGATGTTAGGATTTGTCAAAGAAATATTTAATCGAAACCTTCCTGTAACTATCATAAAATTTATCCAAGAAATAACTTTTCTTGTACTTATTTCTCTCTTTTTTTTTTAAAAAAAAAAACAAAACAGGATTGATCATAATTAAGATACTTCATGTTTGTTAGTCCATAGTCATAATAGTGTCGCATGCCAAACTCCGACAGCTGTAAACACACTGCAGCTTTTTTTTAAAAAACACTTTTGAATCTTGAGTGTTATCTACATGTAGAAACCATAATTACTGCTTGTATACACGATGCGGCTTGATTATCTCGTGAATTTCAGTGCAGACGAACAGTATTAGTTACGCCTCATTGCACATGACACCTGTGATTGTATAAAGTCAACTTTCGGGTACTAGTTGATTATGCAACAGTTAAGTTTAGCTTTATAAACACCAAGTTAATTTTTATGGCAATTGATTACGCGTGTATTTTAGAATATGGCTTGAATGCATTACCAGTTTATATACTTAAATATGTTAATATTGCGTAAACAAACTGATAAAATGATAAAGATTTTTATGGTTGTTTGGATGGAAGGATACTGCAATAATTTAGTTGGGACTCAACATAATTTTTCTGGGACGCATCAAATTTAGCTGGGACGCAACCTTCTCAGAAATCTTGAGTCCTGGGACTCAAATTAGCAAAATCCTACTGAGAACCCTGTATATCATATTATACGGAAAGAAAAAATTGTTACAGTATTGGAGTTTATATGTAAACAGATTATATAAAAAAAGGATGTCGACAGGAGACATCAAGGGACCATGCTCTATGCATAATGCTATAAATACAACATGCATAGAAGGCAGCATTCCTCATGTCTAATCATTAAACATAAGGAATAATCGAGTATTAGTCTATGATGTACACAAGCATAAAGTTCTATTATATTAAATAAAATAATATCAATTTCTTCATTATATTCTTTGAAATCGTATTAAATATTTATGAAAATAAAGTCAATAATGAATTTCATGAAATACTGTGTGTACGCTACAATGCACGTGTTTACATTTTTTTCACAATCGTTAATTACTCATATGCATGCTTTGTTATGAAAGGCGTATGAATATTACTATAAGGCGTAAAATATTTAGAATCGCCCATAAATTCTACTAAGCATTGTCAATTCAAACATTGTAAATTATCATGTAAAGTGACTGACTGATAAAATAATACCTCAATAAACCAAGGAGTCGTGTTTTCCGGCCTTTATGCTGTGGCCTTACCAACAGAAACCCGGATGTTTCAAAGTCACGTGAGTGAATGAAAAACGGCGTCCACAGAAATTGTAGCTGAACTATAATTAGCAGCCACTTAGTGTGGTATTGTGGTTACATTCTCAATTTGTGAGTTTTCAGCTGTGATGATAACCTGGATTTTTCTTTTTTCAATTATCATTTAACAGTATGTTATATTTATTTTCTATACAGAAATTTGTACAACCTCACGTTACGTAGTTTCTTTGTGACGCCATAATATTGCGTAATGATCACGTGTCATTTGATAGATAATTTCCCTATTCGTGTGTATACAAGGAGAGGCACTAGTTATAGATACTGCTGTCCATGTAATTTGGCTGTTGAAACAGGCAGACATGAAAATATTCCAAGAGATAAAAGATTTTGTAGAAATTGAAGATGAATAAATACTGCATGGTGTGTCCTGTATAATATGTATCTATATATTGGAAAAAAAAAACCCTCTTGTTATTTAAATTAGTACAATTTTAATTTTTGAGTGTCAATAATATAAAACAACTATGTAATTTAGGAAAATTTATACAATTTATAAAGCCCTTGCGCTAAGTCTAACAT